TAAGAGTTTTAAAATTAGATGAATTACGTACGCATTTTGATTGGTTCTTAATTATGATCTATTGGAGGACAAACGCTTAGATGACGTCACCAACAAACACTTTTGGCTTCTTTATTATATAAAGAAATAGATTCAACGTTGCCGTGGGTCTGCCCAGTAATGAGGGGGGTAAAGGATATTTTCGTTATTTGTGAATGGCCTATTTTTTTTTCTCGTGAAATGTGCAATAGCTTGTTTTTGTTTTTCTCGTGAATCGTGATTTCATTGGTAGCGGTGAACCGTGATTTTCCAAAATAATTCTCCGTGAAATGAGAGAGAAGTATTTAATTCGTCGTGAACCGTGATTTTGGTTGTAGTTTCGATCGATAGTAATTAACAATGACCGTGAATTATGAAAGTACCAATTTATATTCCGTGAAACGTGATCTTGATTTCCCAACCCCCCACCCCCCTCCTTTACCGCCCTCAGTAATAAATCATAGACGACGTCAAAATGTGGTAGGATCATCATTGACTCACTCGGCTACACCTTGTTTGTGGCCCTTTTGTTCTTAGCACACTTTTACGTCATCTGTGAGCTAATACAAGAGAGATGTATCACCACGTTTACGTGAAACGGCAAACGTCAGCTTACCCTTTCATGTTTCACGTAAAATAGCATGAACTTTGCAGCTTTAGTTTCGAGTGAGCTCACGTCATGCATATGGTGAATTTGAAGGCGCCTTTGTGTGACTTACAAGAAATAGTTTTGGTGCCCTTTTTCCGGTGATTAATTTCTATTCTATGAGAGAAAAAGTAAAGAAAATCTTACGTACACGGAAAAAGCGAGGCAAGGTTACTTTTACGTAGAAACGGCAAAGCGCAATCGGCAAACATGAAAAAATGACGGGAAAAACAATGTCACGTGGTCATTTTTGCCGTTCACGTTTCACGTAAACGCGGAGTTAAATCTCTCTAATACTAAACAGGCGCACGGCAACTAATTTTTATATGCACGGTATGTTCACAGAGGTTGTGTTTCAGTTAAAAAGGAGACCACAGTCGCTTTGTTAATTTCTAAAAATTCTTCAGAAAATTGATAAGTGAAAAAAAAAAAGACAATAGTTAGTTAGGGATTCACCTTTCCTCTAACGTTTCGGCCCTCGGGAGATTTTCCATCCATAGTCATGACATATAAGGTTCCAATGCCATTTTTCTTCTCATAGAACCACTCACCCGGATTGTCAAGGAACTCTAGTTTACTTTCCAAGAAGTATTGATTGTTCTTCGGTTTAAAGTTCAAATTGTCTCCAAAGTCATCTCTATAGGTAAACCTGTCTTTTCCTATGGGATGAATAGTTAACAATTAAGACGAGGGATATATAATGATATTCACCTAGCATGAGGCGAACGATTGTCTTATTTGGGGTCAGTATCTGAGGAAACGTAAATGTTATCTTATTTCTTCACTCCCAACTTGTCACGCCTTGAAGAACAAGAGACACATGACGCTAAGAAGCAAAAAGTGCATGTGTTTAGTCTTTCGGATAGCGATGCAAAATGCATTTAAAAGGATCACATCTGTGGTATAAGGTAAGGTTTATGAGTTGCATGCATCGGCTCACCCACAGTCAGTAGTGATGAACTGACCGCAGAGAATTATCACAAAAATGCGCTTTGAAAGAAAACATCGCGTTTGCTATCCCTTTGAGGAAATACTGAGGACTTCGCCAGTATTTTAAAGGGCTTTGCTCTCTAATGCGTGATCGGCAGCTTAAGCTGAAAAGAACCAGCCAGCATATCTTACTGATCTGTTTCATAAAATTATGAACGTTACGTTATGACAAAGCATTGTAGAAATGCTCCAAATTTATGATTTCCCACTGACCTTTTCCGTGGTTTAGTACTTTTCTCGTAAAAGTGCAGAAACTTCCAACATTCAGCACGGCCATCGCCCCAGTTACGTTGAAACCGCTGTCGGCCAGCTTATGCTTGCCTCCGTCTATCATAAGCCCGCGCGTAGAATTCTTAGCGGACTTAGCCCAGAACTGGCTGTCAAATATTGTTTTGTCAGACCACAAAGAATTCGGCCAGCGTGCATTAGTCATCATTTCGTCGTCTATGAAAAGCTGGGTGATGTCATAATGTATGAACGCCTTATAAGCCCCGTTGTTCATTCTCTCCCATTCCGCGGGCCGCAGAGGCACGGTACCGTCTAGCTTCGTCAAAGCGTTCGGATCACCTCGAATCACGATCGGAGACTCTTTGCTTCCGTACTTGTTAGTAATGGTCACCTTTTCGTGGTAGCTGCCAGGCTGAATGACACACTCGTCCCCAGGGTCTTTCAAGTTATCGATACAGTCTTGAATCTTACCCATCGTCCCGTCAAATTGGATGTCACTGATGGTACGTTTGTTGCCGATTTGAGAATTGTTGACACTGAACAATTTTCCTTCCACTCGCAGTGTCAGTACGGCGACGACGACAAACCCTAGCACTAATTTGCGCGACTGAGACGCCATATAGTTGACTGAGGCGCTTGATTTATTTTCCTTCCGCTCTTTGTTCTGTAGTAAAAAGCAAAAAAAAAACAAAACAGCTGCTTCTTCATGTTTGCCTATCGTGACAAATTTCACCCAATACATTTACACTCCATCTTTGAGCATCTTTGTTTCGTTTTGGTTTGTTTTTCCCTTTTCGAAGTTTTTTTTTTTAAATTTTTGCAAACTAACTTTTGTGGTTTCTCTCGTTTCCTCACGTTTAAATGTATTCATGACAACATAGTAGCGCCCACATATCCCTTCTCCAATCCCCACCCCACCCCCGGAGCCCTTATCTCTTTAGCAGTTTTAGATCTCTTAACTTGAGTGAAATTTGAATAATCATGAAACTTTGGGAATAAAAAGGAAAAAAACTTGTAATTTAGAACTGACATTACAACCTACAGGTCTTATCCGAAGGAGATTAAGAAAGTTTAAATGACGCAGTCAATTAAATCGTATTTATTTTTGGGATCCATAAATTCCTGTGTTCGGATCATAATTCAAGATAATTTAAAAAGCATTGTATAAAAAGAAATTTAGAGATCTCTTGTTAATTTATTCCTGTAACAGGGCTAGGGAAAGTCTTATTCTGCGCAGTTATAAATGATTCTTAAGCTGAGGAAAATTACAGTGCAAAGCCAGTTCCGAGTTAAAAAGGTAAAGGCAGCGAAAAAAATACTTATGAGGTCAATATCTGATTCATTTAAGCAAATCAGGTCATCGGTAAATTGATTCTTCCTCAGGCTAGAAGTGTGACTATTTTTGACGGTAAAATCTGATTTTAGATCTAGATCTCCTTGTCTATTTTGAGTAAATACATCGAGGTGTGCAAAATGTTACTACTTTTCTAACCAATAAAATTTCGGTTACCACAACGTGCATGTGAGTTATTTTCATTAAAAAAGGTCATATTCATGGCATGTTTTTAACTCACCGTAAGTGTGGATACGGCTTCCTCTCCGAATCTGTAATCACCGATCGGCCGCCTTGATGTGATTTCCTAGCTATTGAAACGTTTATAAAAGAGAAAACATAACAAATAAGATTTGACAAGGCAAAAAGCTCGAAGGTGCGACTTATTGTGCTTCTCTGGCGCTATTCAGCAGCTGAAGAACCTTAACCTCAGGAAACAAAGGAAAGATTACTTTCTAGATTGTGTTAAGAAAGCGAGGTGTTGCCACTTGTCGCTGAACAAATATCTTACACCGGTCAGTCAACCGTGAATTATTTGTTACAGAATCTTTGATCGTAGCGCCAGTTTTCTCCGTACATCTCAGCTCCCATACAATTCTGCTGGATAAAACATTGAAATGAAATCTATGAATCTATTTGTAATTTATTTTTCTTACTTTGCTGTCATCGTTCTTTTTCATTAATTAAACGAATTCATTTGAAAGTACTAATTGGCCATCGGCGAAATTCGTGATTCGATTGTTTAAGTATTCGTTTCACAGTTGCAATTGAATAAGAAATGGAATAAATCAAAGATTTGATTTCAGCATCAGGCTAAAATGTCTTTTGTTTAAAATCAAACTTTTGAATCATTTTTTGATCACATCAGACAGTGCAAACCGCTGTAAAAGTGTTGATGACAGTCTTAATGAGGATATATCCTCTTTGAAACTTAGTTTCAAACAACTAAGATGATTCTAGAAGATGGAAAATAAAATCAGAAGATACGTCAAGACCGAAACTATCAATAATCAACCCTCGTGGGATTCTTAATGCAGAACAAATAATATTTTGCCGACGAAAGATCACTTGTACAGATACAGCTGTAAAAACCAAAAATCACAATTACTACAAATCAGGGACCGGTCAATATTTGTCGACTAAGGGGGGGGGAGGGGAGGGGAGGGGAGGGCTAGGGGAATTTTTGTTACGTCAGAATAAAATTACCTGATCCCTTACAAGGCTCTGTAATATTCTCATGATTTCTCATTTGCAGTTCTATAGTCTCCCCTTTATACTCGACACCTGATCCCCGCCCCACTCCCCTTGAAAACCTTGTCATCTCCACTAAAATTCACCGACCCCCTCCTTCCTTGCTCCCTTAGTTGAAGATAGTTTGGAACGGGTTTCATCGTGGCTCTCTACATATTGACTTTTTAAAGAGACGAAAAATTGATCCAAGGAAAACCCGTCTGTTATTTCTAACCAAAAGAGGATTTTTTTTCCTTGTTCAGTTTCATAGCTTCATCTAAGCACAAGGAGGATGGAAGAACTCGAGAATCCCCCCCATACCCAACCCTTCGGTGTTTGATGAAGGTTAGATTATGTAAACATGGGCTGAGTCCACCATTGCAACCCTTCGGTGTTTGATGAAGGTTAGATTATGTAAACGTGGGCTGAGTCCACCATTGCATTTATAGAATAATCCTTAATCTAAAACGTTGCAACTAATTCAGTTTCCTACCCTCTCATTGCCACTTAAATTTGACTGGCAATTAAAATTTGTGTGCCATACTGGGAGTCGATAAAGAACGCTTTTACGATGTTCAATCTGGGGTTTATTTAAATTCTTAGTTTTCTTTGCGCATCTATGTAATTAGTAAAGCCAAATTAACATGAGTTGGCTTGTGGAACACTTTCTTCGCGGCCCTGAGAACAAGTGCCAAAAAATCTCGATGCCATATCACTACAAACAACACTCTTCGACAGATTTCGTGGTCAAGTGTCTTTAGGATCATGTCCAGACTCAAATCACCAAAAAGTAGCATCAGCTCCAGAATCTAACGGACGACTTGAGGAAAAAGAGTCCATTCAGTAAGCAAGCTTCCAACTCAGGACTTAAATTATGCCTTTTCATATCGAAAACTTAAATCTGATCTTCAAGTTCAACCCAAGAAACTAGAATCTTGCGCAGCATGTTATGTTACATCATCTTCCGACACCTCCGCTGAATGAGAGAAAAAAAAAGATATTTCGAAAGCACAACTCAATAACTGACCTTTGTCAAGTTTTCACATAACTTGCTAATCATGTTTTCCTTGATTGACACTTCTTTCATCACATACGTGTCAAATTACCTTAAAAAAAGGCCTAATCGTTTACAACCACTTGTTTCAGCTGGCCATCTGATGGAACAGTCTAAACAAAACCCAACAAACAAAACAAAAAACAAAACAAAAGTACGAACCTTCATCCTTGCACATTTCATCAGTAGTTCAGGTTATATTTGAAATAAGTGACCCTATGAAGCTCATCTTCTCTCTAAAACAGTATGAGAAATGGTGCAAATGGCAAGCTCAGGATGAATACCCACATTCCATCAGACTAACAAAAATAATTTAAATTAACGAGTGCGATTCATCAACACTTTTTCCGATGGGCATACACAGCAATATGTTACACCCTTACCTCTTTATAACGGCCGCCACGCTACTTCAACGTTTATTCTGTAAGCAAGGTGACCGATCGATATAATAAGCTGTACCAAGAGAAAATAATGGGACATTTTTCTCCTGGTTGTACGTGAGACACTTCTGGTAACAAAAAAGCTAGTAGCAGTAATTCAGATAGTATAAAATAGAATAGTTCAGTTAATAAAAATAGAATGGTCCAGATAGTAAAAATATAATAGAAATAAGAAAGAGAATAAGGAGAAATCTTGACCAGACCCAAACATGTTCTTTTTTGCGATCTACGCTACTCTCCGCTCAGTTGAACCCTTCAACTTCTCAGATTGACTAGTATTTAATTTATTCGTGTAGTATCATCCCTAAATAAGACCTTAAGGTCACGAGAATAGAGGAAATGAGCACCAACAAACGAGGCTCTTGATGGGAAGAAAAATTCTCCTACTCTGTACCATGGGAAATATATAGCGCTGACACAAAAACATAGTTCAAAATTTTCATTTAATCATTCGCACGCATCCCGCATGTCTTCGTAGTTTATACCCGAGGACCACAGCGATGGGAATTGATTATACAAGGCACTATTAAAATGCATTTCTAGTTGCTGCCATCCTCTTATGCCGTGCAAAATAATCTGTCTCGACAAACTGCACATGTGCATGTCGCGAAAACGATACTTATCCATTTGGGAACAAAATATAAGGGGTAAAAATTTTTGGTTGTCGGTCCACTGTGCTCCGATGCGGTACATCAACGAACCGAGCAGTGCATCTTCATTTGCAAAAATCGGTGATGTTCGTGAAACTTTGACAAGTGCCGGAAGTAAACTTGCACTTATGATGTATCCTCCTCCAGAAATATACGGTTTATAAAAGTCAACGGGATGATCTTCCACTGAGACGTAGTAGCGACTTTCGGTATCTCGTACGACCGGCATTTCTGTTTGAACTCGGCCAGCGTAAAGAGGGCGTGACCCGTTAGCTTCATGATAGCTCCTCAGCCAATGAAAAAGATTCCAAACGTTCACGTAACAATCTTCGTCTGTCTTAAGAATATAAGAAACAGGACACTTTTGTTCCAGCGGCCACTTTAAGCTAAAGATCATCTTCAAATTAAGGTTGCGATATGTATCTTGAAAAGATCCTATCATAATATCTTTGTAAACGTTAGCTTCTTGGAGAACGAGGTAGTTCAATGTGGGGTCAGAGCTCTGGCCAATGAGAAATACTGTTTTCCAGGACCTGATCATGAAAGAGAGCAAAAAAGATATCGATAAATAAATTTTTTCTATCTTTTGCGGTGGCTTGGACTCTGGAAAGCAGCAAACTGTTAGAATGCAGAGGGCTGAGGGTCTGGGTAATATTTCCCATAAGAGTGTTTTTACAATGCTTGTCAAGTGGCTGTCTTCACGAGCGGGCAAGATGAAGCGAGTCCTGTTATGAGCAAAAATATTTCAGAAATATCGTAGTTGCCTATCTTGCTTGTTACATGGATATTGCCGCTACCACAACAGGAGAAATATATCTGAATCAACCGATCACTACTAATAAAATTTCTGCCAGCTTCTACATGGTTTATGGTGGTTTCGCCTGAAAACAGTTCGCCCCGGCCAGCTTTAACAGCACGCCCACGAAACGTTCGACTCTTTCCTTACCACAGAACGTATTCATTACCAATAGAAATCATGATGTCTCGATCAACATGCAATTTCACAGCGAAATCAGAAAAAAAGTTTGATCAACAAGTAGATTCCTGGCCGTGATAACGCAGGAATCTCGCGCTCACATCCTACTGTAACTGAAATGCTTAGCCATGGAAGGCCTAGGTATGAGGCCAATGCGGGATTTAGGCACGAGTAGGCAGAGCTGTCCCCGTACTTCAGTGACCGACTTTAGTTAAAAGTTTCACGGTTGTCTTCGTTTATACTAATAACTGTGAAAAAAATTTTTTGTGATATTTTGCGTAATTCAAGTATTTAAACTACCGGATTTATCGATTAAGCGCCCAACCTCGGATAAGCCCCCAGCGCCCAGCCTCGAGTAGTTAGTTACAATGCAATCATCTGACGTCGGACAACTAACTGTAGAAAATGGTTTAAAGTGAAGTTTGTAATGAGGAGAAGTTCATAACTCGCTCACAAATTTTGTGACTTTCAGGCAGCCAGGAATGAATTTGTTCGATGCTATATTAATTTGTGGAAGCGAATATGAAAATTATTTTAGTAAAATAAAATCCCAGCTGTGTAAGCATTGAACTTTTAGTCACCGTCTGAGAAAGGCTCTTTAATGATTGAAAGAAAAATAAAATGACAGCGTTTTGTTTTCAATTTACCCGCTGTTAGCGAAACAGCGAATCGTAACTTGACGAAGGGGTTCCTTGAAGGTACCATTACAAAGAAGAGACTGTAATGGTAAAAAACAATTTCTATCTCATACGATTTGAAGTTATCGTAGGCTCTAAGTATTGACATTAAAATTACTAAACGTATCAGTGGAGCTCGCAAATTCTGGCGAAATTAGTTTTGTTCAATCAGAAGCGCACGATTCGAGTTATCCAAATCTCAAACTTGAATGATAAAGTAAAAAGTAAAAAAAAAATGAATTCCCATTTTGTGTAATTTTCTGGAATTTTTCCATTTATTATGTTGAACCTATTATCTTATTCACTCCGGCTGAGCTTAATCTTATTTTGTTCAATAGTTTCCGATCAGATTTTAATTTCAAAAGAATTTGTCGTAGAATTGAGAGTAAAATTTTTTACTGAATCTCGCCAGTAACTTTTACATTGAACACGCCTTTTTTCGTAAAGCAATTTATTAATCCAAGGCTGTTTGTTTTCTTAACGAGCCTTTGTTAGTGGAACGAGTGGTACTTACCTCAAGGTATCGTTACGATTAGTATCCCGATAATGGCCGCCAATAAAATGTTCCATGTTACCCCACGTCAACCTAATAGCTTGTCGACTCTTAAAATTTTCTGGACTAGAATGGACTTGAATCAGCAGGAAAAGTTCATTATTGCAGACAAAATTCCCCAGTAAGTAATCTCTACGCGAATCCAGTTTGCGGTATGATAATTTAGTCCGAATGCGGGCTTTCCTAAACTTCTCGCTAAAATTCCTCGTTGAATTATTGTAATGGTCCAGTGAAGTTTCAAAGCATTTTCGTAGATGTTCAAAGTTTGTCTTCAAATCGAAGCGAACGGCGGTCATCTCAGTGGCTTGTGAAAAGTTACACGAAAAACAGTCTTTGCTTTCGTATCTCCTGGAGAAAAAAGTCAATACTCCCAGCATGCAAAAACACCATATGGAAATTAGAGGAACAAACGGCTTCATGCGCTTGATATTAAGCATCTTGTAAATAGACAATTATGAAGTTATGCAACATGGAACAAAAATCGTGAACCGTTAAAAATCTTGGCGGGATGAGGTGTTTTAACAGTGGAAGATCAGAATGCGTCTCTTTGTTTGTTTTCAGTTGATTTCTCTGGTTTCAGTCTGCGCGCTAAAGAATACTTCATATCCGATTTATTTAGAAATTCATCAACATGTTAAACGTAGCCTAGGTGACAATGTAGTTGTTGAATTAGGCCAGGGTTATTCCTAAATATTCTGTTGATGGATTTGTTCTTTGAAATTAAAACGCGTTTGTAATGAGTAAAGAATGGACTACGAAGTGCAAATTTATGAAAAGAACAAATCAAAACAACACAAAACAACAAGGACCACGGACTACGGACTACGGAATACAGTCTAGGTATGAAAAAGGAGATTCTTCGACCTGTTGCTAATTTGAAACTGGACTTTGTTAGGGTTAAACGTTAATCTAATATGATACACGAAAAGCGAGGTGGGTAAGAAACAAAGAATGGGGCAAACTTCATTTTTTTTTTTTTTTTTGGTATAACCAAATCAACACAAGGGCCGATAGGCAGGCTTACGGTATTTAACGAGACGAAACGAAACGAAACGAAAATTTTAACTAGGTTACGAGTTTGTTACGTAAATTAACTTTCTCAGATTCAACGAAACGAAACGAAACGAAACAATATTTGATGCAACTGGGAAAATCTTCACAATAAATTTCAGCTAATTTGATTGAGCCACCCTCGGTCGAGGGAGATTTGACCTCGGACCAACGGCGTGGCCGTGAGTTTCCGTATCACAGTATCCGGAGACAGAAGGTATTTTGGACATGGCTTGAGGAAATGTTCCAGCGACATGCGTCGCTTTTAAACGTTTGCTGTGGTGTAGCAATGATAGAAGTTTGCCTCTGGTCGAAAAAATCTGCGATTCGATGGGTTTTCGGGCCGCACCCGCCTTTGAATAGACAAGGTACGGAACGCCGGTTGTTTTTCTGTGCTGCCTTTACTTCGTATTATAAAGAGAGTGACAGGGTCAAACAATAACAGCCAAAAAAATCGCTGATTTCAAGCCAAACAACACAGGAATACATCAAAAGTAAGTGTCCTTCATTTATTTTATAGAAAAATAAGTAAGAATAATGATATTAAGCCTTCGAAGGTCTCAGTACTGTATTTAACCGAGTACTGATTTCTGTGATTTCACTAGTTAAAATTTTCGTTTCGTTTCGTTAAATGCCATAAGCCGGTGGGCTTCTGGTATTCAACGAAACGAAACGAAACGAAACAAACTCATAACCTGTGATTTCACTGGTTAAAATTTTCGTTTCCGTCGTCTCGTTTCGTTTCGTTTCGTTTTGATTCGTTTCGTTTCGATTCGTTTCGTTTCGTTTCGTTTCGCTAAATACCGTAAGCCCGGCCGATAGGCGAATCAGCTAATCAAACTGCCTTTGTCGTGAAGTGTCTTCTCTGTTATAAGACTTCATCATGTGCATGTCCGTGCTTGATGGCTTTGTGATGATTACATTTTAAGTCCAAGATCATTCAAGGTTTGTTCCCCAGGAAGAGAATATAAACGGAGGCATTCGTAAGAAGATGACGGGAGTTTAAGGATCAAAGGCGTAATTACGACCCTCGCATCTCAGACTGTTGGCGCCAACCACCTGGCGCTGTTTTCTTGGCGCCTCCCTCAACTCGTTCACTCACATTTATTAGTCTTATGGGTGCACCGTAAGATGTAAAGAAATTTGAGAAAACCATGACAGTGACGGCAAGGAGAACGAAGAGAAGCATGAAAGTTTTAAATTGAGCAGAAAAGTAACTCAGCTCTGATGCGTTTTAAAAATTTTGTACCTCACCTCGCCATCCTTTGAAAAATGAAAATGTGTTATCCCCATATTCAAATATCCATATCCCAGGACAATTTTTTCACTTTTTTTTACAATCAAAACTCAACGCTGCATTCGTATGTTGCAAAACAGATACGGTGGCTACATCAAACCACTGTAGATATACTTTAAAAAGATCAAAGTTCATTTATTAGTTGACGTTTTCCCAGGCGTTGCTGTCTTGAAATCTTTGATTCCCCAATTTCTAATAAGTAACTGCATACTGTCCTGAATAATCCCACCCTCAGCGGAACATTAGAATTTTTTCTTAAATCGGGGTAACGTGTATAGGAATCTTCGAATTAACAATTGCAGGTTTACATTTGTTTGGTGGCAGAAGCACCGTTGGTACGTGTTTGAGGAGATACTGCATCCGAACTGACTTCACATGCATGTAGACTCCCTGAACATACATAAATTTGATATTTAGAATGGGTGCTCACTAAATTTTTCACACCATCGAGAAATAACTTGAAGGTAATGAGAATAACAAATATCACAGGTGCCTACTCAGATTTTCACGGCTGTTATAAAAATAAATTAATGGAACTCCTAGATGACTATTCGAGCCTATTCTATGGGAGTGAAATGATTTTCTTTCGTTGCTCAACTTCTCTTTCGAAGACCGTAACTCGAAAGTTACCGAATAATTGAAATGCGTGCATTACTAATTAATATCAGTCCAAGCAGAGGAAACTGATATTTTCATCGGTACTTTATAGACATACCTCGATCAGTGAGCTGATATTTTTTTGCTTTTTGCCGATAAAGTTCTTCATATTTCCCCACGACAAACTGTTACCTTTCTGCTCAAAAACTGTTTTGGACTGGAATGGACTTGAATGAGCAGGAATAGCTCATTACGGCAAACAGTCTTGTTTTCCTTCTCATAAAGTTTATGCATCTTTCCATGCAACTCCAAGTCGTAAAATCGGATCGTAAAACGATGTGTTTACATCAACAATGTTAAAAATATTGCCAAATTTCCCTCCTGATGTTATGAAGCGTTATTAGGGTCAAAATTAGAAAACAGATTATGTTATGGTGTTTGATACATTTGGCCGAACTACAGAATTATGTTCCAGCGTTGCATGGAATTATGTTCGGCTCTCTTAAATTGAATAATTGTGATACGATTTTTCTTATTAGTAGCTCTGAATTATATTCGGACGCTGCCGAATTATGTTTTCATTGTCTAAATTATATTTTTCATTTTCGACTTTTAACCTCCCTGCCGCCGAATTTTGATTTTCGATATTTCCATTCGGCCGAACTACAGAATTATGTTCCAGCGTTGCATGGAATTATGTTCGACTCTTTTAACTTCAATAACTTGTGATACGATTTCTGTTATTACGTAGCTCTCAATTACATTCGGAAACTGCCGAATAATTTTTTTATTGTCTGAATTATATTTTCCATTTTCGACTTTTATCTTCCCTGCCGCCAAATTTTTACAATCTGTTGTTCGATATGACCTGCTAAATTATGTTTTGATTTTCTAAATTATGTTTTCGATCTTCTCTGAATTATGTTCGGCTGATTGACTGGGCATCGCAGTAAGAAAGCAACGAGAAACCGTGGGACGGGAAAAACTCCCGCCTTTTCCAATTTTGTAATTTATATTCATAATTACCAAGTCCGACGTCTTGGTTTATATGGAAATGGCGGAGGAAGGAAGAAAGAGGGACCATGAAGAAGCTGAAGATGGAGAGAAGGCGAACAAAAGTCAGAGGGCAATAAGGCTTCTGAGAGAAGTCACGACTTTGTTGACCGAGTCGGTTAACGAGGGGGAAGCGAAGGAGTTCCGTGAAGAACTATAGCGAGTGAGACAATCCTCGAACGCCATTCTAAACGACTTTCGTAACATTTTCAGCCCATACAAGATACCTTCTGCCGTCCTCACGTCCACTTTCCAACAGCCAAACCATCGGTCGTCCCAACAAAAGCAACGTGGAGTGTTCTTCCTACCCAAAGAAACTTGGACGCACGAGTTTTTTTGTTTGGCTCTAAAAGGTCAGACCAGAGCTCCTTTAAGGGCTGAAACTGAAATTCGAACTCCAAGCCCCTGGTTTAGGGAGGCGGAAAGTTTGCTTTCACTCTAAGGCAAAATTTTAAGAGTTTCGGGAGAAATTGGAAGAGGAATTTCCAAAACTAATGTCAGGGGGGGTGGCTTTTTTCTTATGAGGACCGGTCATCAAGGGAACAGCTGCCTTTCCACAAAATCACCGCCAGCAACTGGTTATTCTCACTCGCTGTAGTTCTTCACGGAACTCCTTCGCTTCCTCCTCGTTAACCGACTCGGTCAACGTACTGATGTTTCGTCTTGAAATTCCTTCAAACGAATGAAGGGTGCTGGTTCAGGTGTAAATCATCTCATTCAAAGGCTGTACCTCGATTTTTCATACTCAGTATTGGACGAAAGAAATTGATAATTACTTTGTCCTCGTAATAACTAGAGATTGAATTCAAGGTGTAGAGAAAACCAAGAAGAAACTAGCAAACGGCGTTTGAGCAGTGGAAGGGACATTAATATTCTTAAAAAAAGTTATTTGCCGTTTGGTGATTGACACGTAAGGCGTGAATTAAAGCTAGTGTTGTAGGAACCCATTCGATCATAAATAATAACATACTTTTGTGTAGGATTCCTTCATTCAATGAACATCATGTTAGATTAACTTATAATGATTCATTTGCAATCAGACTGGTGGCTAGAATTCTTTGGTTTTAATTTTCAGCTCAACCGAACGTTAAAAGACAGAGCGTACACATATTTAGACTTCTTTTCTATATCCATTAGTCTGGTAATATCAAAGAGCAAACGGAGTGGCGATGGGGAATGAAGAGCAAATGTGATCTCCCCCAAAATTTCTCGCTCTTAGAAAAGAAAATGACTGGGATTTTGGTACCTCTTCAAAGGAAACGCTTTCATGATCTCTGGCAGGTTTCGTGTACCACGAGT